ACACACACACACACACACACACACACACACACACACACTCCTGCCCATCCTTCAAGCCCTGCTTCAAAATACCTCTTCCACAAAGCCTTCCATGGTTTCCTCAGGCTAAAATAATTTCTCCTTCCTACTAATTTCTTCAGCGATGACTTCCCTCAGTGGAATGGTTGGATGACAGCCATGAAAGAGGCTAAAATAGACACTGGGTAGTACCTAGAGCTTGGTCAGACAACAAAGATGCCCAGGTCACCATGGCATCCCAGGCCATCACCAGTCATCTTGACTTTTGTCCTGCCACTGGACTTTTATGACTCTGGAAAAGAGAATGAGGCTGACAACTTTATAAAGCTCTGCCTCACTTAAATGCAATTCATGAGCAAGTCAAGACGTCACCCCATGACATCATTGGTCCTTTCTGAAAATGAAGGACAAGCAGCAATAACAACAGCTTCTATGTTGTATCTCAATAAAGGACTGGATCTGGAGTCTAGATGATATGGGTTTGAATCCCACTTTTTTATTTAAAACCTGCATAACCATGGACAAATCACTTCCGCCCAATACAGGCCTCGGTTTCATTATCTGTAAAATGAGGGGTGCAGTGAGCTAGATTAATTTTAACGTCTCTTCCAGCTTGAACAAAAGCTGTTTATGTCTTTCTTTCCCTATTAAAGGATTTTTTGAAGGCAGAGACTGTCTTATTTGTCTTTGTAACCCCTACAGTATCAATCACAGAGGTCTCCACTGACAGAATTGTAAACCTCAAGGACAAGGATGATTCCATTTTTGTCTTCATATCCTCAGGGCCTAGCACAATGCCTGTCACACTATAAGCACTGGTAAATGCTTGTTAATTAATTGTACAGTGTAGACACTTAACAACTATTTGGTGATTTGATTAAATATAGTTTTGATAAACATACAAAGAATATAGTGAAGACCAGTCAAGGAGTTCTTCCCAAAAAGGCTCAAACTATTTTCAGTGACCCTGGGGCAAAGTTTATATAAACAGGCTTTGACCTGTGTAGAATTGGCTCACTGGAAAGTCATTTCAACTTTAGTTGAGCAATCCTTTTATTCATTCCACACTGACTCTCCCACATTCTCTAATCTCCTTAAGCCTCTAACCTTCCCCTACTCGGATTCACACTTTGCGTTCTACTAAGAAGACTGAGATCATGAGTTGATCAGTTAACTAATATGTAAGTGCCCTAAAATATTTACTGTTTCTGTCGTGACACAAAGTACACATGTATGATTTGGTGACAGACTAAATGAACTTGCTCTTTTGACTAATGGAACCCACCCAAGATACCTAGGATATTTTGTACCTTGTATTCTACAGAGATCAGCAAACTTTGGCCCATGGGTCATAGTTTGCCAACCTCTGCCAAATAAACGTGGATGCTCCAGCATCCTCTTAAATTCAGTCCCTTGGGGAAAAGCTCCAACTGTCCTTGGCCTAATTATGGCTTGGACACCTAATACACTAAGGCAACTTACCACTTGCAAGCACACAATTGACAATACTATGGGGCAAAGTTGTGTGTGTGTATATATATATATATGTGTGTGTGTGTGTATGTATATGTATATATAGACATATATGGATGTGTGTATGCATGTGTATATATATATACATATAGAAATCATAAAATAGACAATTATTAATCAATCAACAAGCATATATTTATCACCTCCTGTGTGACAGACACTGTGCGAAGCACTAGGATAACAAAGACTAAGTTTCTACTCTGAATGATTAAATATTCATATTAAAATATAAAAAGAATAAATATAAGGTAGTTAAATTCAAGGCAGTTTGGAAGGGAGGTTGCTAGCAGCTAGGGGCTGGGAGGGGGAGTGATTTAGCTTCACAAAAAAGCTGGTGCTTCAGTTGGGACTTAAAACGAAGGGTTCTACGGAGTAAATAGGAGGGAGACCGTTTCAGGTATTGGGGATGACCCAGTTAACAGCAAGGAGACTGGAGATAAGAGTGTTGGGTATGAGCAACAGAGAGAAGGCTGGCCTGCAGTGTGGGAGGAGACAGTAATGTTCAATGAAGCTTGAAGAAGAGATTGGGAGCCAGGTTGTGAACGGCTTTACTAGACAAGCAAAGGAATTTGTATTTTATCTTGAAGTCAATAGCCACTGGAGTTCATGGAGGAAGCTGGTTATATGCGCTTCAGGAAAATTACTTTTCCTCCTGTGGCCTAGAGGAGAGACAAGGCTTGTGGCAAGGAGACCTATTAAAGGAGTCTGTTGCAGTAATCTAAGTGACCTAAGATGGTGGCTGTGTGAATGGAGAGGAGTTCAGATTCAGGAGATGATATGGAGGCAAAAATGGCAAGAGCTGGCAACTGATTGGCTGTAGGGTGAGGTAGAGGGAGGAGACAAAGATAGTGCCAAGGCTACAAATATGGGAGACTGGAAGAATGGTGACATTTTGGTGGAAGTTTGGAAGAGGGGTGGATTTGGAAAGAAAGATAATGAGTTCTGTTTGGGATATATTGAGTTTGAGTGTCTCCGAGTCTCCAGTTTGAAATATCCAGTAGGAGATTGGTGATGTATAAGTGAAGCTCAGTGGAAAGACAGAGGCTAGATATAAAGATCTATGAATCATATGAATAGCTGTTGTTGTTCAGTTGCATCAGACTCTTCCTGACCCCATTTGGGGTTTTCTTGGCCCAGATACTGGAGTGGTTTGCCATTTCCTTCTCCAGCTGATTTTGTAGATGAGGAAACTGAGGCTAACAAGGTTTAGTGACTTGTCCATGATCATATAGCCGGTAACTGTCTGAAGGCAGATTTGAACTCAGAAAGGAATCTTCCTGCCTCTGGGTCCTACGCTCTATCAACTGTGCCACCTAGCTGCCCTATGGCATATCACAAGCATTTAATAAATGCTTTTTGACTTGACTTGTTTTGCTGAACTATATAAATGTCTTCTGAGGGATTCATTTTTTAGGTTTTTTTTTTAATTTGCTCAATGGGGGAAGGGAGATGGTGGGAAGGACAGATTAATTCTTCAAAATTATTGTTTCTTGAAAAATAAAATTAATAGAGAATAACTAGATGATGCAGTGGATAGAGTTCAGGACTTGGAGTCAGGAAAATCTGACTTCAAATCCTGCCTTGGACACATGTTACCTGTGTTATCCTCAGTTATTAAGAGGAAAAAATAAGCAAAAGACTTATTGATTATAACAACAATGGTTACATTAAAATTCTGCTTTTCAAAAGCTGGAGAATTTATGGAGCTAAATTTGTGTCTCAGTTTTCTCATTTGTAAAATGGGGATAATAATAGCAACTCCTTCACTGGGTTATTGTGATGATAAAATGAATTAACATATGCAATGCATAAATGCTATTATTATTATTATTAATAATAAGTTTTTAAAAAAGTTAGCCTGAGATAATAGAAAGTATATCAGCAAGAAGTTAATACCCATCATTCAATCTCAGCTGTGTGACCCTCGGCAAATGACTTCACTTCTCTTGTTCTCAATGTCTTCATCTGTAAAATGAACTAGATAATCCTTAAATTTCCTTCCAGCTCTAAAGCTATTTCTGATAAATAGCAAACGGATAGGGCAGACACACTGGCACATGGGGAGCGCTTAATAAATGCTTGTTTTTTGACATAGAAGTTCAGAGGAGAACACTGTGGGCTGAGGTCAGCAGGGAAGTTTCACAAGGAAATGGGATGCAAGTTATGACTTGAAGTGTGGGTAGCAGATCAGATGGGAGAGGACATGCTGAGGGAAGGGAGTGCCAATATGAGCAAAGGTATTGTGGGTGTAGAAAGGAACAAGTATTTATTAGGCACCAACTGTATAGGTGCCAGACACTATGCTAAGCCTCTTTACAAATATTATCTCATTTTCTCCTCACAACAACTAGGAAGTAGGTGTAATTATTTCCGAGTTAAAGTTGAGGAAACTGATA